TTATTCTTATTATCATCATCATCATCACCAGTTTAGAAGCCAGACCCTCAAAGGGGATATGTTTGAATGAATAGAATCTTCATAGAAAGCCAGGCACAAGAGCAAAATGCAGCCACTGACCAGTTTAGGGGGAAACCTGCAGTGTCTGAGGGAGGTGGTGATGGAGACAGAGAGAGAACAGACAGAGAAAGCAAGGAACCTGGAAGAGAATGCTGGTGAGGGAGTGAATTTGCAAATCCTTGGGGAAAAGCTGGATGAGGCAGGCTAATAGCTGTCAGGGCTCCAGGAACAGCCCCCAGAAGGCAGGAGCCGACCACATGGCAGAAAAGCTCTTGCCTTCCTTTCCCTGAATTATTCAAAGTGAACACCAGCCCCTTGTTATCTGAGTACTTCACCCGAACCAAGGGGTCCCTTCCCCATCTCTAGTTCCCTTTAGGAAAACATGTCCTACCCACCCGGTTCTGTGGTTTAGCAGGCCCTTTTAGAGGATGCCATGATAGCCCCATCTGTTCTTTCCCATTGGCTAAACAGATGTTTTTTTGTTCCTATGACAACAGACCTTCAGCCTAGATCCTTTTTTTTTTTAATGGGTAATCTCCTCAATGAAGGATAAAGCCCTATCTCGGCCTTTCTCAACATAGTTGGCACTGGCCTTAGATATCACCGCCTGGAGCTCCCTCTCATCCTCAAGGGAATGTCAGGGAAAACAGCGATTCCTTTCAGCCCATTGCCTGGAGGTTAGGGTTCAAATCCTGTTTGACCTAGAGATGACCCCGAATTGACATCATGTAAAAGTGCTACAAAAAAGCAGAGGTACGGTCATCACTGCCCAAACAATGGACCAGCATCCATCTCCCCTGTGCGCCATTAACAGCACATCACGTGCCTCTGCAAGATTGAATTAACACCTCATTTCAGGCCATCCAGCGAAGAGCAGCGGAGACCCCTAATAGGATTTCCTTCTAGCAGGCCATAAATTTTCATCCTTACACGAGGGCTATAATCCTGCCAGACAGCACGGCTTGTGCCACTACAGCACAGAGCAGAAGGTACAAACCAAAACCTCAGAAGATGCAAGAAGCAAACTCTGCCCCAGCCATACTAAACAGTTGCTATTCTGACAGCTGCTGGAGACGATGCTTCTGTCAATAAGCCCAACTTGACCCCCACTATTTCTCAGGCCTCCTGGCCCCACACCAAACCAGCTGGAGGTTTTCTTTTAAGCCACAAAGTAGACTGAACTTCAATGGTCCTCCTTCTGAGTCTAGCTTCTTGGGATCACAGAAGCAATTTTTTAAAATTTTCCCAACTGGAATGAGAAATCTCTTTCCAGCTTCATAGTCAGGGAAATGGCCAAGAAACCATTGTCATGGGGCAGCTTGAATCCATCTTTCCTAAAAGATTCTTCCACCTCCTCCCCACTAACACACTTAAAAAAAAAAAACAGAACAAAAAGGCTAAAGTCAGAAAAATCAGAAGCCTACTATCCTTTGTTTCTTCCTCAATTTGCATCGACTCCAATGCCCCCCATCCCAGGGGGCTATGAGAGCTATGAAGCTTGCAAAGTTAATGATGTCATCAGATCTTTCAAGAAGCTTACCTCATCCCTGGGCTGGAGTAAAAGTCCCGGGGGAGATGTAACCCTGAACCAGCTTCCCCAGAGAAAGGCCAGTTTGATGAGGATGAAAATGGTCCAAGCCCCGCTCATCATTGTAAATGGTGCCTGCTTTTCTGAGCTTGGCTGTGTGTCCTGAGCCAGCAGCTCGGGCTATAGTGGTTAGCTGGTAGGAAGGGTTCTGGTACAGACATGCCCTCCAGATTCCACACATGCCTCCTTCCCCTTTCCCTTTCCCCCTTTTCCTTATAGGGCCACTGTCTAGCCCTCCCCATACTACTCCACATCTTCTTCCAGCCAGAACTTTGGTTGGTGCCACCCTAATTCCTGGGAGTCATTCCCACTGCTGGTCTAATTCCCCACAGGGCTAGTGGTAGACCCCTGAGGAGGAGGAGGAATGGAGAGGTAAGGAGTGCCCAAGAAAGTATGGAGATAGGATATTCTGAGGCAAGACCTAAGCATGTCTAGGCTACCAAGGAATGGGCTTAGTATGTTTCTTGTGATGCCATTTCATGGCCCCAGGGGACTTAAAATATGTAAACTCAGCCCTGGCCACAACCATTGAGGTCAAAAGGCTGTACCTTGTAGGTTATCTTTAGGCATACCTGGCACCTTTCCACGGTGCCACTGACACCCAAGGCCTTTCCTTATTGACCCTGGGCCTGCTACCTGAGGGATCCCCATCTTCACCCTGTCACTTTATCCCAAGGACAGTCTTCAACACTTACACCCATGGATCTACCCCCTTCCTGCAAGGTCCATCCAGATGCCAGGCACTTCATGAGGTTATCCAGGGGAGTATTTTTCTCTGGAAGTCTGTAGGTGTGGTCCCTTCCTAATGTCAGAGTGGCAGCCACAGAGAACTCTGGGGGATTGCTTTAACTAATAGAATCCTAGCTCCAACCTTGTTTTCCAGATCTTAGAGATGTTGATAATGGCAGCATTGTTGAAATTCCCAGCCATGCCCTTAGAGCTCTCTATCAATATTCAGCAACAACCATGGCTAAACAGCCTTATTCTCTTTCTGGTTTCTTCAACTCAGGCAACAGCTCCTCAGTGAAACTGTTCAAAGCAAATGAAATCAAATAAAATAATACCTGTAAAGAGCCAGCACAGTCCCCGACACATAGTAGGGACCTGCATAATGCTTGTTCACTCCCCCTCCAATGACACCCATAATACCTGCCCTGGAGGAGCAGAATGCCCTAGTGGAAAGAACACTTGATTTGGGGCATAGAATTTCAGAAACAAGGTGGACTTTAGAAGTCAGAGAACCTGGACTGAATCCTAGCTCTGCTACAATACAAAGTCCTAGCTCAGCAAGGTCATCTGTGTGACCTCAGACAAGTTACTTCCTCTACATGGATCTTAGCTACCTCATCTGTAAGGTGGGGGAATCAGACCAGATGAGCTCTTTGCCATCTGAATCCTATGGTCCTATGGAATCCCACATCACACACTTACCATGTGACCTAAAAACACTTTGCAAACTTTAAAAGAGTTATACATAAATATGTGAATTAATTGCTATTTTTTGGCAGGGGACTGGACCTGCAATTTCATTTGTGAGGAAAAATCCCAGTAAAGGAAACTCCATATGCCAAAGCAAAGGGATGACTGCTCTATGATTTATCATCTTAGATATGATGATATTGACTGGATGCCTGGAGCATTGAAAGGTTAAGTAATCTGCCCAAGGTGACACAGCCATTATGTGTCAGGGACAGGACCAGAACCCAGGCCTTACTGTTTTAAATGCCAGCTTCTGATCCCCTACAGCTGCCAACCCTTCTTATTCTTCCCCAATTCCCCACGGTGACAATGTCCTCTCCCATTTCAGATTTCTCATAAAGCTTTACCTGGACCTTTGAATTTCTCTCTTTTTTATTAAAGCCATTCATATCCACATCTCTCTCCTTGAGAACAGAGGCTAGGTTATATCTGTCTTTGTCTGCTGAGGGCCAAGCACAGTGGTGCCTCACACAGGGTTTAGGGACGGCACCCTGTGATCCCACTGATACAAGGGACTCCCAGAAGAGGAAATTCCTTCTACCACTGTAGTTTGGCATCTTATCTGTAAGCACTGAATAAATGATTATTGAATGAATGACTTAAATGCCTCAGCAGAGATGTACCCAACAATGATCACTGCCTGGCACACCCAGGTTCCACCAAGCTCCCATCACTTTTTATAGTCAGGCCCTTCATCAACTCCACATTAGGGTAGCAGGCTTCATGTTTGACACCTCTAATCTAGACCACGTCTCTCCATCTTACCCACAACAATAGCATATAATACTCTACTGGGCCATGTGAAGTTGTGAAAGAGATTAGGATATTAATAGATGGGAGCAAACACAAACGAAATCAGTTATGAATTATTGTCAGAAATATACTCCTATCTCCATACCAGACCAAAACCAGGTTGAGACACTTACAGGAAGACCGGGAACCACAGAACATGGGTAAGCCCTATCTGGAAATACTGAAAGAGGACTTAGTCTGACTATGTCCTGTTCTTGCCCATAGAGAAGGAGGCACCTTGAGCAGTTCCGGCGCAGAGTACCATCCAGAGTTTTATGCAGATAGGGTACCCTGAGTAATTAGCCCTACCTCTGCCTCTTAATGCCAGTGCAAACAGGCCTTTTACATATGCTACAATCCATCCAAACATCCCGTATTCTTGTGCTGCCTGCCTCCGGCCCATCACGCTTGGAATGTAGTCCAGTTAAAACCCAGGTTTCCAGCCACCTTGAACATCTCTCATGAGACTTTCCTAACCAGTGGAGAGAATGCTGATGGACCAAATTCTGCATGACTGCAGTGGGGGGAGAGGAGGGAGGAGTGGAGTTAACATTCTGGCTTTGAAGAGGAGAGATATTCTTCATCCTTAAGAGAGGAACATATATTGTTACAGATTATCTTTTAAATTGTTCTCTTTGGAAATGACTCTAGGGAGGAGAAAGACTCTTTTACAAACATGTAGGAGAAGCTGGCTCTTCAACATGTCCCTGATTCCCAGCTTGCCTCCCTAAAGGCTTCCCTTAAATGAAATTGGGGCCTCTCTCTTGGTTGAGCAAGATCTCATCTTAATTGAATCTAAAGAGCTCATTTACTCTGTGTATTTTCTGTTACATTTTAATCTTTATAACTTGACCATTTCCTGTTTCCTATTTGTTTGGATAAATGGGTTTACTCACAATTCACTATTTGTGATGGTCTTTTGTGTAACTAGCATTTGCTAGAAAGGCGTCAAACTTGTGAGTATAAACTTGGTGCAATCCTCCTCCCCTTAAGAAATAGGGACCAGGAAAATATCCCCTAGACCAGCAATATTTAGGGGAGCAGGTAGATGTAATTCTAGTGTGATGTCTCTCTTTCAAAGGAGTACAGCACAGCCATCCTTATGGTCCCTTCTCTAGCCATCCTCAAGGAAGAATAACCATTGCCATTGGAGAGAAGTGGGCAAGATTCCAGCAATACCTATCACCACCTCCTCTTGAGTGGCCTCTATATGTTCCAAAGACCCACATGGACAAACAAATCTGACATGGAAAGTGAATACTTTACAAATTGAAGAGAGCACTGGCTCTGGACAGATTCAAATCCTGTTTTTGGCATCTACTATCTGAGCGACCTTGGGTAAGTCATTTAACTTCCCCAAGCAGTTTCCTCATCTATAAACCTTCCCCATCATTCCTTTTTCCCTCTACCTGCTGATAAAGTGATCATTCCCTCCCTAAATACCTCAGAGCTCTTCTCCTTTATGTCACTCGGGAACATATTTATTAGACTGGAAGGTCTCCCGGATGGGGCTTGTGTCATATCCATCTTCTCACTCCCAGAACTGGTCACAGGTTTCAACACTTTTTAAGTTTGGACCTATGATATCATTGGTGCAGGGACACAGATTGCCATCTGCTCTGCAACTTACAATCTTAGAAAGCTGACTGAGTCACTGAGAGGTTGAATAACTTTCCCAAGGTCACACAGGCAGTAGGGGTCAGAGGCAGGACCTGAACCAGGTCTTCTTGATCCTGAGGTCAGCTCTACACCAATCAGCCTCTCGCCTTACACAAAGCAAGCACTTGATGCTTGTTGAATCAGAAAATGAACAGACAGGAACAGATTGATCATTATCATATAAGCCAAAGAGACAGGGGAAGCAAGGGTAATGGTCCTTTACCTGGAGTCAGAAAAGCCTGAGTTCAAATCTAGCCCTTGCTAGCTTGTGTGACTATGGGCAAGTCACGTAATCTGTCTGCCTCAGTTTCTTCATCTGTAAAAAGGGGATAATTATAGCACCTACCCCCCAGGGTTGTTGTGGGAACAAAATGATAAAGTACTTAAAGTACTTCATAAATTATATCTCTCATTATCATTACTATTATTATTATTATTATTATTATCCCTATCACTGAGAAGTAACATTCTCATTTACAGATGAGAAAACCAAGACCCACAGTGATTTGGTGGCCTGCCCCACAGTCACACAGGAAATGACTGGTAGGATAAGTACTAGAACCCAGGCCTCCTAATCCCCATACCAGGATTCTCCGACAGCCTCAGCCCCTAGTGATTTGTTTAAAAAATGCCAGCTTTATACACACAGGTTCATTCCACCCAGCTTGTCTACTTTCACAGGAGCTCCTAAAACACTGATCAATTGAATCATATTGAAGACACAAGCTGAGTTCCCTCTTCCTAAGTTCACCCCGTGTTTCCTCTCCTCCGGGAGCTGATATCTATGGACTCAACAAAACTCCATCAGGCTAAATTTCCACAAGCAGAACTGCATGTAAGTCAATTTCCTCCTCCCTTTCAAATCTAATTTGCCTCCTAAGATTGCCTGGAAACCAGATGGTGTTATAATGAGCTGATAGAGGTCACCTCCCCAGAGCAGAGGATGAAGAGCAAACCCTGAAGAGACAGCAACCCTGGATTCAATATGGTTCAGCTGGTCAGTACTTCCACAGCTCCTGGAAAGGGCGGCGTGGGATGACCTAGTCATGTCATTGGACCACTCCCTCAGTCAGTCTAGCATCCTTCCAGGTCTCAGTTCCAAGGAGTGAAGGGAGGGGAGGCTAGAGTGGTAAATGCAAACTCTGTACAGATCATAGAGTCTGGAAGGAAGGTTTAAGCATAGGAAGCATTATGCTTAACTCTGTGATTAACTATCATTTATGTTCATCATTGATCGTTCAATCAGTTCCGTCATGTATAACTCTCTGTAACCCCATTTGGGGTTTTCTTGGCAAAGATACTGGAGTGGTTTGCCATTTTCTTCTCCAGCTCATTTTACCCATGAGGAAACTGAGGCCAACAGGGTGAAGTGACTTGCCCAGGATCACACAGCTAGTAAGTGTCAGAGGCTGGATTTGAACTTAGGTCTTCCTGATTCCAGGCCAGGTGCCCCATCCACTATACCACCTAGCTACCCCTATTAGCCTTCAGGACTAAATAAAGTGGCATGCAGCAGGAAGAACAGACATAAAGATGAACTTCCTCACTTCGAAGATTGACTGACATGAGGGAAAGTGATTGAGAGAAGTCATAGAATTACCTGAAGGAATACTACCTAAACAGTCTGGGGTGCTCTGGTCTTTTTGGAAATAGCTCTGCCTGGTAGCAGAAATGCTATTACATAATAACTGTTTGACACTCATTTATGGTAAGAGCCTCACATTTGGAAGATGTAGGGAATTTGAGATAAATCAGTTTATATTTGAAAGAAGGTTGAGGGTGAGGTAAAAATCAACAAACACAAGAATTTCTTTGTGGGAGTTGATCCAAGGGCCCAAATCCACAGCCATGCTGAACTTCCTGAGCAGAGCCAGATGGTATTACAGACAGTTCACAGACTCCACCTCCCCCTGAATCATGCAGTGAAGCTTCAATATGGCTCATTGGTCAGATCCAGGGCATCCTGATAGAGTAGAAAGAGCACTGGCCTTGGAGTCAGAAGACCTGAGTTCATATCCTACTTTGAGGTCTCTATCCAGTGTGACTTTGGCCACGTCACTTAATCTCAAATGCTAGTTACACAAAAGATCATCACAAGTAGTGAACTGTGAGTAAACCCATTTATCCAAACACATAGCAATGTTTCTTCTTACATAAAATGAGGAGACCAGACTAGATGACTTCTGCAGCCCCTTCTAGCTCTTGATTTATGAATCTAAACTTATCTTGCCAAAATGACACCCAAAGACAAACTAGACAAGCTGAAGATATGACCCTATGGGCAATGGGGCTAGAAGCAGGTGGAGATAGCCCTGGGGCTAGAGGCTTTTATATGTGTTCAAAGATTTCTTCTGGGCTCCTAACTGTTTTCACCTGAAAACTGTTGGACAGTTCTAGAAATGAGGTCTAAATAGTCGAGGTGGGCAGCAATGTGGGACAGGGTCAAGGATATGGTTCCGCGGCAAATTCAGGAATGAATAAATGAGGTCCAGTCTCTAAAGAAAGGGGAAGGGGGAATGGTTCTAGCCTATCTCGACTGGTTTCCAGGATTATCCTGAATGGGCTTCCTAAGTGATGTTGTCTCTCCATGCCCTCATTGGTCCATTGATACTACCCAGCTCCATCTTCATCTTACCACCCACCCTGAAGTAAAATCTTGAGTCCTTGGTCATCCTGTGACAGAAAGACAAAAAGGGAGGGACAATGGGCAGTCCTGAGCCATCATGGTAAAGTGCAGAAGCATTTAGGTGGTACAATGGACAGAGCTCTAGGCCTGGAGTCAGGATAGACCCAAATTCAAATCCAGCTTCAGACACTAGCTGTGTGACGCTGGGCAAGTCATTTAACTTCTGTTTGCCCCAGTTTCCTCATCCATAAAATGAGAGCCATAATAGTATCTACCTTCCAAGGTTGTTGTGAAGATAAAAATGAGATGATATTTGCAAAGCACTTAGCAAAATGCCTAGCACATAGTAAGTGCTAGTTGATAATGCTAGTTATTAACCTGGAAAGACTTACATGAACTGATGCACAGTGAAGTGAACAGAACCAGGAGAACATTATACACAGTCACAGCAATGTCATTCAGTGAAGAACTGTGAATGACATAGTTATTCTCAGTAATACAATGATCTAAGACAATCCCAAAGGACTAATGATAATACTATCCACCTCCAGAGAAAGAACTGATACTGTTTGAATACAGACTGAAGCATGCTACTTTTCACTTTCTTTCATTTTTTTCTTTTATTTGAATCTTCTTGTACAAAATGACTAATACGGAAATGTTTTACAAAACTGCACATGTATAACTATATCTGATTGCTTATCATCTCAGGGAGGGGAGGGAGGGAGGGATAGAATGTGGAACTCAAAATTTTAAATAAAAATGTTAAAAATTGAAAAAAATTAATTTGGAAACAAAAAAATATGGTAGTCATTATTATTGTTGTTGTTATTGTAAAGAACAAAGGATTTGGCCTTAACATTCAAAGTCTGGGTTTGCTACTTATTAACTACATTACTTTGAACAAATTACCTGCCCTTTCTGCACCTCAGTTTCTTCATCTGTAAAATGAGAGGGTTGAACTAGATAAATTCCAAGGTCACCTCCTCCTCAAACAGCCTATGAGTCTGGTCTGCAATCAATTCAACAAATACTTATTAAGTACCTGCTATATACAAAACCCCATGCTACAGTACCCTGGAAGAAGAAAGAAAGAAAGAGAAAGAAAGAAAGAAAGAAAGAAAGAAAGAAAGAAAGAAAGAAAGAAAGAAAGAAAGAAAGAAAGAAAGAAAGAAAGAAAGAAAGAAAGAAAGAAAGAAAGAAAGAAAGAAAGAAAGAAAGAAAGAAAGAATTTGCCCTTATAGAGCTTACAATCTAACAAGAGTAGGTGGGAGTACAATGCTTTAATATTGTAATGGATCTCTAATCTCATCAATGTGATTATCACCACCACCACCACCACCACCATCACTGGTACAGATTACAACTCCTTCCTGCCTTCTCATCCTGTGATGCTTGTCCATGTCATCTCATAGACCCTCTACAAAGTGCCTGAGGTTTTCTTATAGGGTTCCCCACTCTCCATTTTGTGAATACCAGCGCAACACCAGTAAGATGCAAGATGATAGACAAAGGAGAATGCCAAAGACCTCTAGCAAAATTTGAAGAGAGATTACTTTCAACTGGGAATAAGAGAAGGTGGAACCTGAACTAAGCCCTGAAGGAAGAGAAGGATTCTAACAGATCAGAAAGGCATCTATTTAACTGTATTATCCATCAAAGGTCTGTGTAGTTGTCTCCTTAGTAAGAATCATTCACATAGTAAGCTTCCAGAAGGCAGGGCCTATGCCTAAGCACCTAGACGGCACAGTGGATAGAACACTGGGCCTGGAGTCAGAAAGACCTAAATTCAAATCTGGCCTTAGATACTTACTAGCTGTATCACTCTGGGTAAGTGACTGAGCTTCTGTTTGCCTCAATTGTAAAAATAATAGGACCCATCTCACTAGGTTATTGTGAGGATCAAATGAGATATTATCTCTGAAGCACTTAGCACAGTACCTGACACAGAGGAGATGCTTCATAAATGTTTATTCCCTTATTCCTTTCCCTTCTCTTTGCCCCTTTGAATGTTCAATCAGGTATTAGACTACCACAAGG